GGACAAGGGGACAGGACAGAATCACTAAGATATCTAGGGGACAAGTCACTAAGGGGATGTATGGGGGTCAAGGGGACAGGACAGGGTCACCAAGAGGATGTCTGGGGACAAGTCACTAAGGGGATGTATGGGGGACAAGGGGACAGGACAGGGTCACCAAGAGGATGTCTGGGACAAGTCACTAAGGGGATATATGGGGGACAAGGGGACAGGACAGAATCACTAAGATATCTAGGGGACAAGTCACTAAGGGGATGTATGAGGTACAAGGGAATTGGACAGATGTGGAGAGGCCAGTCCTGGATTTTGGTGTGAAAGAACTGTCCTGATTCTAGATAACATGTTGGATACAAACGTACCGGTGTTCATGTCCCCAGCCAGCGATAGTCTCCAAGATTACTTTGACTCTGCTAATAATGCTCATTCCACTTACAGCATGAGATTCAAATTTTGTTTGTATCGCTGACTTTGATATGCATTCCTGGTGGAAATTAAAGAAGCTTGTCAGATAAAATAACCTTGAATATATAGAAAATAAGAATTAGGAAGTTGTCCTTCAGTAGCATTATGAGGTAGAATGAGAGGTTTTTTTCCTTACAAAACTTTTTATTAACAAACAAATATCCATGCAATACACTACACAACTAGAATCCGATAAATATATGGACTTTACACTTGCTATTATTRCAGTTTTCCTTATAACTTTATTAAAAATAGTTTAAGTAAAAAACAAGAGAAAGGCACAACAAGCAAATACGCAACAGCTTTTCTAAAGAGAAATGAGAGTTGAGGGCCGTACACTCCTGTTGAAATTCAAGAATGTCTTGACAAGCTTTCTCTGGTCGCCGGCATCATTCTTGAATTTCAACAGTAGTGTACCCCCCCTCGACTCTCATAATACAGCAAATAAATTGTCCATGTTTAAACTTAAAAGGAATATTTTATTTCAAGACAAATTTGCATAATATGTACCTCAAATTTATGCTCAAAGTGTTCAAACTCTAACTTTCTACCATGAAACCCGTCTACATAGATTGCACCACCTAGAACAATAACAACACTTACTGAATATGGTGTATATGACATCAGAATTTCTCATTACTTCTATTTTTGCCAGTTTTTTTTATTTCAGACAAAAAGCAGAACAAAGTACCTTCCTCTGGCATTCCACGATGTCTCTGCATTCTTGACATTAATGCCTACACAAATGTAATTAGTTGACAATATCATAGAGATACACAAACAGAAACAATAGGGCAGAGTCACATGAACATTGAAATAAAAACTAAAAAGTACTAACTAATAGGCACTATTAGTTCCTAATATTCGTTAGCACTAAACCAGAACAGTTTATTTGATCCAATTAGCAATACCAAAGAGACCACTATAAAAATCAAAGTAATCTCTTTGTGCTGTTCTGGTTCAGTGATAGTGTCTAAATAGTGCCTATTAGTTACTAAGTATTTAGTTTCTATTTCATGGTTTAAGTGACTCTACTCTATATAGCAACCTAAAGCTAATATGTTCTACCTCTTTTGCAGAAATAAAGAAAACTCGGTCTTCAGCTTGGACTTTCTCGACACACTTCAGTTCATCAGCCAGGAAACTGACACATCTTTCAAGATGCTGCTTTTTGACCTGAAATTGATTCAATGATGTCAGTCAAACAAACAATCAATCAATGAAACAATCAATCAATCAGTCACTCACTCACTCATTCAATAATCAATCAATCATTAAATAATCATTCAATAATCAATCATTCAATTAATCAATCAACCATTTCAATCAATCAATCAAATGTATGAATGAATCAAACAATCAAACAATCATTCAATAATCAATCAATCATTAAATAATCATTAAATAATCAATCAATCAATCAACCATTTCAATCAATCAATCAAATGTATGAATGAATCAAACAATCAATCAATCATTCAATAATCAATCAATCAGTGAATCCATCCATCCATCAATCAGTAAATCAACCGATCAAATTAATCAGTCAATTAATTAATGATTCAATCAACCAATTCTTCAACAATTCAATTAAACCATTCATTAATCAATTAATTATTAATTTATTACATAATTTGATGGTTAATATCAAGCAATATCATCAATGTCACTCACAAGTTCCATCATTTCTTCATCTGCTTCCCCTGCCGATGCATCCCATCGATTGTTGAGAATAAATATATTAGGTCTTGATAACTTCTGGTTAACTTTATGAAAGAAATTCTTCTCCTGTAATAATTAAGAGATTGGATAGCTTGTCATTTGTTAATG